AAGGGGATCAAACCAAGACGGTCTGCAGACCTTTAAAGACTGGGCCCAGAAAAGGATGTTCTGAATATTACAAAGATAAGTAAATTTTATGTTACTTTACAAACTTAAGTTAATCTTTCATTCTTACTGCAAGTGGCAGATTTCAAGAAGTTTTACCTCATGCGAGGTCTACCTTTATCGCCAAAAGGGCGAGAAATGAGTTGTGACCGATTTTCTTATTATGTTTTTCAATTACTCGCGCGTAAAACTAAAGTTGATGTATAATTAGCTTGTATAAAGACTTAATATTGTAAAAAGTATTGTATAAATTTTATTTAAAACATTCTACAAGAAAGAAGTTTTAGTCTGAAAGACTTTTTGAAATGTGTAGTATTATTTCAATGTAGAAAGAATTGGCACTTGCTTTGAAAAGAATAGAAGTTAACAATGTACTACTAATGTATGTTTTCAAATGTGTAAAATTAACGGCATCTTGATATGGTTCTTGTATACATGTGAACTGTTATTTTGAATGTTTAGAAATAACGTGATATGGTAAAAGTTGAAAGTAATGTTAAAAAATTTGTTATTCGTGTGACTGTAAAGATTAAATCATGGTGAATATGTGTTAAAGGTTGAATGATGTAGTAGGCTCTCTGACGCTACACTTTAGAGTTAGCCACTTTCAGAATAGTACCTCAGGGTCTAGAGTTGAATTAGGGTGGTGTTTAAGAGGTCTCGTATGTTGAATTTAACACGTTAGTGTTTTGATTGTAGGAGGAAGTGTTGAACACATAGACAGAAACACATTCGTTGTTGTGTTTTTACAACACCATGTCAGAGAGCACGGGGAGAGATAATTAAAATAGTCATGAATGAAATAAGAATGTTTAAGAAAAAGTATATTCTATATGTTATTTGCAATGTCATTCTGTAACATTCATTAAACTAGTTTTCCTTCCAGATCTCTGGAAGGAACCAGAATTGAATAAAGCTCCTGTTTTGATGCGCAGAGAATGAAAAAGAAAAAGATTGTGTATATTCCGGGAGCTGCTATTGTAACAAATTTCTTTTCTTTTAAAAATTTCTAGTTTCTAGCTAAGTTATGATTGTAAAAGTTTGGCCTCGCGTTAGTTTCTAGAGCTAAAAGTTTTCAACAAGGTCGTTTTAGACCTCAGTTTCAAACTAATTAACTCTGGCGGGAAGTATGTAAGGATCTTAAGTTTTTACTAACGTTTATTTTATTTTAAATCTTTACTATCACTTCTTATTTTCTACTTCCGGCCAGAATTATAAGCGTGAAGGAGTTTATGCAAAGTTTGTTCTGGCGAACGCCAAGTATTTAAGTGTGGCCTTTTGCCAAGCAGAGAGAGGAAGCCGTGAGTTCGAAGCAGGCCGCTTACCTTAGAAGTTACGCAGTTGCTACTTTGCCTTCCAGGCCAGAGGTTTTAATCCTCTTGATAAATTAAACGTATTGTAGTGTTCACAGTCTCTGTGCTACATACGCTTCCTGTTATTATAAGGCCAATCTTATTCTAAAGTTAAATTAGAGTTTAGTTTTATTTTGATATCTTTTAAGTTAGACCCCCGAGTGGAGGGTCATTGTATTCCGAAGTACGGAAGTCATTGTATATAAAGAAAAAAAAAAATAAAGGGTTTTGTATACCCTTCGTCTGTATCCTGTCTACTTACTACAATTAGTGAACATAGCTTTAGTAAGCTCTCTGTTCTAGTCAGGTCATTGTATGTTTCCGAAGAAGGTAAGAAGAAACATTGAACCTGATACTATTACGAGGAATCCAATTCATATCAAGAGATTTTGTGTAAAAATGAAAAGTAAGATTACGAGTTATCGGGAGAGAATTATAAGGGCTGGTACTAAGTCCCAGTTGGATAAAATTATTTTGGAGATGGAGAAAGAACTTGTATTGCATACAAATAAATTTCTTCGTATTAGAAAAGACAGGATAATAAAATCTCTTGGTGGTCGCCGGAGTTAACTAAGTTGAAGAGAAAGGTTCGGTCATTAAGAAAATCTTATCAGGTGAGATGCATTTCGGAAGAAATTAGAATTCATAGAGGGATCTGCTATAAGAGAGAATTAGCAATGTATAAAAAATTAATTAAGAAATCAAAATATGAAAGTAAATTAAATTACTTTTTGAAAAGTAATTGTTATTATGATGGGTTTTTTAAACACACAACTCAAAAGGTAAAAAGAGGAATAATGTTAAAAGGCCTGATGGTAATCCAGAAGAAAATATAAAGCATGTGAAAAGGGAAATTTTAGATGAGATCTTGGTAACTGTTATCCCTATACGAAATAATTTTGATTTAATCTTAGAAATAATAAATGAATGTAATGCCGATGATAAAGAATTCATGCTGAATGAGATTCGGACGGTTATTACACAGCTTCGTACAAGAAGCTCCTCTGGTTGGACTGTATACATGCGGGCATAGTAAAGATGTTGTTTGAGTTTTATCCTAGCTTTTTCGGTCATTTATACAATAAGTTTTTGTTACATGGTCTCTTTCCTGAGGTTTAGAAAATTGCAAAACTAATTCTCATATTTAAAAGCAATGATAGAATGAGGCCAATATGTCTCTTAAAGGTGATGGGAAAGGTGCTGGACAAATTGATTGCAAATCGCTTACAATATTATATAAAAACGAAGAAATTTATGTCATCTAATCAATATGGCTTTTGTGCCGGGCGGAGCACACAGGATGTATTATTTTAAACATCATTATAGACTATTTTAATAAAAAATAGATTGTGAATAAGAACGAAGATGGTCAATCTATAATTATTGATTCTAGTAAGGGTTGCCCTCAGGGTCTTCTAGTGCTCCTCTGTACTGGAACCTCATTGCAAATGATTTACTGAAATGACATTTACCTGAATATATACGTTTGGTAGCCTATCCTGATAAGCTTCTAGTGCTTATAAAAGGTAAATCTTTGCAAATAATCGAAGAATATTTTAATGAATTAGTTCTGGAATTAGAGGATTGGGTAGAAAAAGAAGGATTAAAGTTCGATATTCAAAAGATAGATGCTGTGTTTCTCCCCTTGCAGGAAAGCAGACACGAGAATCAAGATTGAAAGATAAGTATCAGAGAATAAAGTTTAGAAAAATTAAATATCTTGGTGTAATTGTGGATGATAATTTAAATTTTGTTATGGTTCATAAAAAAGCAGAATATATTTTAAATTATTACAGGAGGAACTTCCCAGTGAAATTCTGTCTATGAAAAATGCCATAATAAGGTCAATCTATGAGACTGTTGTGATTCCTCGAATTATGTATGGCATAGGCGCATGGGGTTGCCGGGCAGAGGAGCTGGTTACACTTCGTATGAAACTGGACACAATGCAGAGAGCTTGGTTACTAATGCTTACGAGATGTTTCAGAACGACCTCTACTGAGGTTGTTTGTATCCTGGCCAATGTGCCCCTTTCTCCAAACTATTTGTTTTTTATTATGATAAATTTCGTTTAAGAACAGGAAATATTGATTTTAAATTATATGGAGATTCTATTGTAACACGGTGTGCTTTTGAAAAAATTGATTTAAATTTGATTCACCCTGCTGAAAGAATTTTTATTTCGTATTATTTGGATGCTCCAAAAATAGGAGAAATTGACATTTATACAAACGGGTCAGGTCTGGGAGACGCCATTGCTTTCGCATGTGTTATATATTATTATGGAACAGAGACTGAGAATAATAAATTTAAACTCAATATTTATAACTCAGTTTATCAAGTGGAAGCTATAACTATTTTTCATTCACTTAAATGGATTAAGAAGACTCATAAAGGGAAATATGATATACATATTTATTCTGACTGTTTGACCGTTCTTGAAGCTCTTTCACGATCTGATTAAGACAACCCTTTAATGGCAGATATTAGAGAATTATATAAAGACTTTAGAGAAGATCAAAATATTGTGTTTAATTGGGTGAAGGCATACACTGGACATTTTGGAAATGAGAGGGCGGATGCACTGGACAAGGAGGCAATTACCGATGTTAATGCTCGTGATATTGATGTACAGGGATCAACAAGGAAAGCTGTGATTATTATGAAAAATTATATTTATGATAAATGGAGGGAGCAGTGGGGAAGTTCTGATCGAAATAAAGGTTATATGAAATTTGTTAAACTTATAAAAGGTTTATGTTACTCAGACACTGACGTTAACCAAATCATTACAGGGCATAGTCGTTTTCCTTTCTATTTTAAAAGGTTTAAATTACAAGAGTCTGACCTCTGTGATATCTGTAAAGAACCGGGCACTGCGTAGCAAATTATATGGAAACATGTAAATGTTTTGCTGATTTCAGGAACGAGTTTAAAAAAAATTATGTTTTAATATATATGATATTTTGAATGATTTTAAAAGACTGAAAAAATTTGCCAGGAAAATGATAGAGAAGATTAATCATGATAAGCTTGCAGTAGGGATTTTAATTTTAATTTTGTTTTTTAGTTATGTTCTTTATGCCTGTTTGTTGAAGGTGTTGTTTTTAGCTTGCTCTGGCGCAGCCCGCAAAAAGGCCATAGGAAGACGTAAAGTCTGCCAGGAGGGTCGGGCTGGTTCCCTCATATTATATCATAGGGTACCCTAAGACCATTCCAATGAAGATAACTAGAGCGACTGAAATGTGGTATTAATACAGTAAAAGGATTATCTATTGTCAGACAAAGCTAATGTCCATATTCTAAACAGCTAAATTTGGAAGTAGCAATTCTGGTTCAAAAATAATAAGATGTAAGTAACAATATAATTAAGACGTTAGGTGTATTACATGCATTTACGACTTGGCAGTATTTTCAACTGAGGTCTGTTTATTAAAAAGTAAAGCCGACATAAGTTTCTGGCCATTATGTATATAATGAGGACGTGAATAATTTTTAATAACTCTTTATAACAATTAATGCTTAATATGTACACAAAAGTGTGTTTCATCATACAACATTTGTTCAGAATAAATTAAAATGGACTTTTACCATTTTGGGAGGTGCAGGGCCAAGGTTGTTAGTAATGAACTGTAATTCCTTTTTCGAAATTGTAGGATGATTTTCCGGCGTCTCGAACACAAGCAGAGAGCAAAGTATGCACCAAACAAATCCACTTAAACCTTAAGAAAAAATAAGCGTACTGTTTTAACAACAAGAATATTCCATTGTTGAATGTAATGCAAGTAAACATTGTCGTATCTTCATTATGTGGATAAAACGGGGCTATAATTAATGGGAATTTTCTCCTCTTCCTGATTCGAAATATTTTCGCCTAAATTTTGATTTTTATGTTTATTTTAATGATATGATATTGACTTCAATTTTTTAGCCATAAAATAGTTTTAAACAGTCTGCTGTAAAATCAAACATCGAAGTCGGGATGCGACAAAAAAATAGATAGTGTAATACTCTAATTTGCATGTTATGAAGATTTAGCTGAATTTTTTTAGCAGTTATAATAAACTTTACAGTAGATATATCTACTATAATAGTAGTATATTTTTTCTCGATAATTTTTCGAATATTATTAAACTTCAGATTGAAAACAAACAAACAAATATAAAATGTCTTTAAACAACTCCGTACCGCCGCCAGATGTCTGGTTACCTTACAATACTATCGTTTGTTACCTCAGAATAAGCACTTCCAGGTTTTTTTGTGCTGCTTCTGGCTTGCCATGTAACGATGGTAATGACTGCTGTGTCAGATGGTCGAGTCCTCTAATTTACCATAACTTCCTAATCCTCTCTCTATGATTATGACGATACACTTTACGACCGTAACGTGAGAGGAACGAGGAAGGTCGGTACGAACTTGAAGTGTGTGTTTTAAAGCAACAGAGTACAGTAGATGACTGTGACCTTACAATTTTAATGAATGATAGAAGGTAGCTTCAGGCTGACAGACACAGATGTAAGTGTTTTAAAAAATGCACATCCTCAGATAATTTATTGCCAGAATTTGTCAACAATTTGATTCAAAATGCAAATCTCGACACAAATTTCAGTTCAGAATGAATGCGAATAAAATAAAGACACAATTACGTCGCAAGCTGTATGTCAAGATGTAACTTGAATTTTTCTGAACGCTATCTTTAAAAAAACTGTTTATCTTGGAGCATATACCGCTTTATATAAACCTAGTACCTCTCAGAATGTGTTCATTTTATGTGAGTTATTCATAAATCCAGAAAATCTTAACCTCAAAAATGAGTGCACATATAAACCGGGTGTCTTCACGTTCAACGAAGTGTTTATAATGCCTAATTTACAATAAAATAAGTGTCTTTAAGCATTCGAAAGGGTGATGGACACTCAGGTGTAAGTGAACTAAGTAAAACTTCATAGAAATCTAATTTATTAATTGTCCAAAAATTTGATTATTTAAGAGAAAATAAAATACGGGTTAATAAATGGTGCAAATGTAAGATAAAGATTTATTTTTTATTTCTTAAACTACTACCCACTTACAACCGAATTTTTCTCAAACTTATTCTCTAGTATCTTGTCAAAATATATCGAATGAATTTTTTTCACACATTAAATTATGTTTGCTGACAAAAAAGAAACAGCAGATTAAAATAATTAAGCCCAAAATGAAAGATGTGAAAAATGAATTAAAATATAGTAATGAGTAAATGAACTATTTAGAAAAGCGATACGGCAATGACTTAGAAGTGTTCATTTATTTAAGTTCTAAACTAAAAAACAAAACAAAAAGATGAGGTCAGAAAGCAAAGCATTTTTGAGCCCTTAAAATTAAATAATATGTATTACCTCCAACGTAGAACACAAGAGGCCAGCCTCCCAGAATCTCGCTTGCACATAAAACGCCGCTGTATAGAAACGAAACAAAGGATCCCAAGCCTAATCCAGAGAATACAAATGCGGTGCTGAAGCTGCGTTCAGGCACAGGTATCCACCGAGATATCAGGTAAAACAACACTGGTACCGTTGGAGCCTACAAGTCAAAATACACTTTTGTAACAAATATTATTTTAATACATTTTTCTCAGTGTATTAATAGGAAAGTAACTTATTAATTTAAGTATCATCTGTTTCTTGTATGACACGTAAGGTGTTCTCGAAAGATAATTATAGGCTCTTTCTTAAACTACTAGTAGCCCAGACCTGTACCCAGTTACAAGACGATTAGGAAGAGGCATCAAGCACAGTCAGCCAAATCTAGATGGTTAATCTAGATGACAAGTTATTGTGCACTACGTTTTAGTTCGGGTGCCATTGTACATTGCTGGTTATATTTTACAGAGCACAAAATATGAATAATCAACTGTGACTTTCCGGAAGTCGAACTACCTGTTTTCAGACTGCCAGCTGTACATGCGATCGCTGTTATGACAGCAGGCGTAAGAGAATGCGATAAGTACTTGTAAAAGAAGGAATGAACTTTATGAAAATTGTTTTATTACTGCACAGAAGAGAATATTTTAGTATAAAAAATAACTTTTTACGTAATTTCTCACAGGGCAAACTTTTTAGTTAACAAAATTCTCATTATGCTTCAGTCCCCAATATGCAATATGCATCATAAAGCGCAATATGCTTCATAAAACTGCGCCTAAAATTTGCAGAAATAATTAGCGTGTAATTTTAAACGGCTAGGTTCAAGTTTAATACCAAGCATTGTTTTCGCTAGATGCCGGCATTAATTGTCAAACAAGCATGTTTTGTTTTTAAAGCTCTTAAATTAAATGTGTGAAAAGTATGGAAAAATGAACTCGCCGAATACATTTTAAAATATCTCCCAAAATATGTTTAGTAAAACTTTAGAACTATGTCCCTTTCAACTCATTAAAATGTAATAAATACATTAATTCTGCCACACAAACAGGAAAGTGGTTCCTGAATCTGAGTGCCGTACCGAAGGTCCCGTGTTTGAATCTCGGATAAGGCAAGGATATAAATTGTTTGTCCCTTTATATGAGGTAACGGTGGCCGTCAGTTGGCTGCCTCCGTAATAAAATGACCACCGCTCCGGTAGCAAAAGTGCCCAAAGCCTAAAATGGCTAGTGCTCGCCATTAAAAAAATAATAACAATAAATCACACTTATTGCTCTATGCGAATTACATAAAATGATGTTTTACTAGGCGTATTCGGAAACTAAATACCGTTTCGAAAAAAAAAATAGTAGAACAATTTTTTTGAATCCAATTTTATTTTTACATGAAAATACATGTCTTAAACTATTTTTCAACATAGTTTCCGCCAATGATCAAAAACACTTGTCATAGGGGTGACCAGTTTTTGTATACCATCGTTCAAAGAAAACTTCCCACCAGTTTCGATAACCACGACCCACAGCATTTTCGTGTCATCGTCAGATCCAAAGCGCTTGCCACCAAGCTCGCGCTTCATGTGCAGGAACAAGTGATAGTCGGACGGCGCCAAGTCCGGGCTGTACGGCGGGTGATCGAACTGCTCCCAATGAAACTGTCGAATTAACGATTGAGTGACACTAGCAGTATGGGGCGATAATTCAAGCGGTCAGACGCAATTTCGAACAAAACAGTACGTGAAATTTGTGGAAATGCGTCTGAAAGAGTTCTCATTGTGAAGCGTCTGTTCTCATGAATTGCTTCATCAACTTTCCTTACCAAATCATCGGTGACAACAGAAGGCCAATCACTCCGACCCTCGGCGTGGACATTTGTTTGACCTGATTAAAATTTACCACTTTCTCACCATTCCATCACTTATCGTGTATTCACCGTAACTTTCGTCACTTGACGATAAATTTCGGCGGTTTAAACATTTCTCGCGTTCAAATTTAATAACGGCACGAATCTCACAGTCAGCGGGAGAACTAATTGTCTTAAACATTTTGAATGTGCACAGCAAATGAAAACACAATTAGAGCAACCAAATGGCGACAATTTGAAAGTCAGTGAACAAGAAAGACTAGTGCGCATGCGCCGCGCCTACCACAGCGCTGCGACGGCGTTATAATGAAACGGTACTTAGTTTCCGAATACGCTACGTACAAAAATCTGCCAAACAATTGAAACGATTTTATAAAGTTTAATACTTTAAGAAACTTGATAACTAGAAGCACATATCTAGAATCAATACTTAAAGAAGTAAAGTTTGAAATTGTCTTTTCTGAGCATTTCATACCGACTATTTATATACTTCGGACTTCTTATGCTCAATGAAGTGCACTTAGCAGTTAATTCTAAATACGATCAATCACGATATCACTTACTAAGTACAGCTTAATTGCTTTCTGAAGTGAAACTTCTATAGTGAATGCAAATCAGTTTGACGACATTGCAAACGAAATGTGTAATAACGAACGAGATGAGCAGAAATAACAGTCTAGTAAAAGCTACGAAGGTAAGTTCCACTTTATGAGAATTCTAAATAATTGTCATGAACTGTGTTTCTGAAGTGGCTATAGCAGTTAACTATCGTTTGAACTAACAACTTCGGTTTTGTGCCCCTGGGCTAACTGCCCTATATAGTGTAAAGTTGTATCTAACTTAGCATAAAATTAGGATTTAAGATAGCAATTTGTGTAATATTGTATGATTTGGTTAGAATTCTCATTTTGAACGATGACTGATCTCATAGCTGAGTGGAGCGCTGGCCTAGTCCCAGAGTAAAATGATGGATTTTAAATCAGTTTATAATTCGTTTGGGGAAAAAGAGTCCTTTATTCTGTCCTTACGAACAGATGTCACTCAAAAACATCGTTAAATTGCATTCGATAGCGGTCGAAATGGATATTTTCGTTGAAATATGAAACCCGAAATTTTTCGTGATTACAATACTTCCTTTTTACTTCGTACAAGAAGAAAAACGTTTGTTTCGAATAAAACTGATATCGCTGTTTTTAAAGTTTTTGATAATTGTGTTGTAGGAAAGTTTAATAAACTAAGTCAGTCGCGTGTGACTAGAGTTTTCGCGCTTTTGAAACCAAATTGAAACGAGAGTTGCTATGTACATGCGGGAAAATAATATATCATCTGTATGTAATTTCATTACAACAAAAGACATCAACAAAACAATAATAAAACAACTGTTACTAAATGAACCATTTGCAATAGAACAAAAGATATCAGCACAACAATAATACACATATTGCTACTATAGGAATCATTTTCTATTTATCTCTCTCTCTCTGCTTGCACCTTAATAATCCATAAATCACAAGGATAAACGTTCCAATGAGAAAGAATTATCAATAACATTTCTGAATTGCCAAAGTTTTTAAGGGCCAAAGCTTAGAGGACTTATAAACTCTGTTCTTCAAAGATCTAATATTTTATTGCTTTCTTAAACTTTGCTTAATAATGAACACAGTAGAGATGTTCGAAATTTTAATTCTATTGATAAATTTAAGCATTCGGAGATCACAGCCGCTGGAGTAGCTAATTGTAAAAACTTCAAGAATACTGTAAATGCGATACTATATCATCAACATTGAAATAGAAAGTATTTATCACCAATCGAGGAAATATGTTCTGCGCAGTTTAGTTGAAGTTAATTTGCAAGTTATATTGGTAGTAATTTATATGCCCCCTATTACCGCTGTTCGAGATAACATTTACTCCAAAGAATATTCTTAGCATAGACAGTTAATGGTCGGCAAGGATTTAGAAAACGTTCTAGTGAGTGTTGGTGATGGTTTCAGTACCAATTCTGCTATAAGTTAATAACAGTCCTAATGAAACAACTAGGGGACCAGCTACAATCGATGCAGTATTTTCAAGATACCTCCAACAACATCAATCTCATCAAACTATTATTCATAAATTTTGCAGAGTAATAATCGTATCCGACGTATTACTTTAACACAAATATAAATAAATAAATAAAAAATTAAGATTATTAACAAATATAAATAAATAAATAAAAAATTAAGATTCGAAAATGCCTCGATGACAATAGTAACAGCTGTGAAATAAAATAGATTAATAATTTATAATTGCGAACCATGGAAAAGAAACACAAATTCCTTTCCTTTTTGTATGATGCAATCACTCGCTTTTGCTATTGGATAGGAACTGTAGAAGTGTAAATGGTGCAAAGTCACATTAAGAAATCAGGTAGTTTCACGCAGCAAAGTACTACCACATAGTTTTCTTTTTACTATGATTTATTTGAGTGATCTTTAACTCAGGCAAAGATGTGCAGTCAAATTCTGTTTTCCAAACTTGGAAAAAAAATTAGAAAACAGAATTGAATTGAAAAGCAGAAGTAAAAGAAGCAAAAACGACATTTTGGAGTACTAGTACTAACTCTAGTGAGAAGCTGTTAGAATTTCATTCTTGAGCGATATTTTAACTTTTTTTCGTTTGTGTGTCCTTTTTTTTTTCATACAGAGGGGAAATGAAAATACATCAAAAAAGGAATGAATGTCTCGAATCCCTAAGAATCTCTGGCTCGAATCCCAAAGAAGGCATGGATGCAAGTAATTGTTTTTCTCTCTTTTTTGTAATTGTAAAATCAGTCATATTTTGTGTGTATCTTGGCAGTCTCCTCCTCGATGAGATATTCTGAACAAATGTTTTAACTGATAAATGTTAGACCATTGAATTTAAATCATAATTTGCAAAATATTGTAAGTGGACAAAGGGTAAGGAAATTTCCCTATTTTTAAAATAAAGTATTATTCAATTTCCTCAACTAGCGAGTCTTTGTTTCATTATAAAGTCTATATATATTTTAAATATAATGCGCAAATTGCCTAAAAATAAAATTTTCAATCTAAGTCCCCCCCCCTTATTTTGTTTCCAAAATCAGACAGAACCATTTTCATCATATGAACTAAAATTACATAATATCAATGGGAACCCTTCCTTTTTATTTTAAAATTAAAGTGAAGACTTTTGCGGAAGAGGATATGAATACATTGCATGGCATTTTAGCATCTGATGTTTCCTTTTTTTTCGATTTTAACATTCTATGTGTTGAAGAAAATGAACTTGACCTTAAAAACATCAAGCAACAGGAAATTCGCTTAAAACGGAACAATAAGTAAAAACACAAACTTTGTAACTCACCGTCATAATTCCTATTACAAATCTGCCTGCAAAGAATGCATATGCAGAAGCACGGGCCATCCAGGGTAATGCAGCAGTGAGCAACGATGCAAAGGCTAAAGCAAATATAAGAGTCTTCTTGCCTCCGTAGACTTCTGCCATACGACCTCCAGGAATGAACCCAAGTAGCTGTCCGTAGTAGAGTGAACTCAAAGCATAGCCTTCCGTTTCTGCGCTCCACTGTAAATCACCATGATGTTCTAAGGGCTAGAAGGAAATCATAATTTCAAAAAAGATTATAAAGAATGAAACTGATTATACATTTAAAAGATAAAAACACAAGAAATATAGAGACCGACAAAAGTCACCATTATAAGGAATGGAAATAAGTAAAACAATAAGAATCCTATGATACACATTGATTGCATAAAGAAAAGGTGTAAAGTATGCCATTTCTCGTTAACAATATACACAATTTTTTGTGACCACTGTGTTCTAGTGATGCACTGCTGTGTAATGTAAAGAAGTAAAAGAAAAAGACACGGTAAGCCCCTGTTCGATTTCAAGCTATTTAGGACATTACACATTAAGATCATTCATTCAAGACTGACTTCCCTTTTCATTATGTTAGCATACATCGAAATCCCATGACTAGCACAATTTTCAGAACTCCCAGTTTATGATTTTTTCCACTGCGGTCACTCCGTAGGAGTTCCTGTTTATTAACCATTCATCATATCATTTTACCTTTACTTTCCCTTTTGTTTTTGTCGGCTTGTACCAAAAAGCAAATTAAATAATGTGTATAAGAATAGAGTTCTTGAATTTAGAACTTTTGTCAGTGACCGCTGGCCGTCTCAATTCCGTTTTCGCTCAGCTTCTAAATTTACTTGAATCGGCTTTATCCTTTGCTAGCCGTGTTTGCTTCCGTAAGTCTTGAGACAAAATTTATAAGCGTATTTTGCCTTCTGAATATATCATATTTTAAATACTCACGTTTTACTTTAACTTTGTGTTCCGCAGTTACCGCAAGCAGCGGAGTCTTCTCTTATTACACTAGCTGTGTAAATTGTTAGGCTGAAGATCTAATAAAGAAGTTTCTTTTAAATCATCATCTGTTTCCAGTATTACTTCACTAGAAGATCAAGACGAGGCAACACGTCGTGTAACTATCTGGAACCCCAGAGAACATTTAAAGGAGTTAGGTTCCTTTCTGCTTGAATGTGGAATTCTTCAAACCTATGCAACGAGGTGCACTGATGAATTCCTGACTCTGTCCAGGACGGAATTACAACAAGATCAAGGGAAACGACAAAGATACATTTGCGCAATTTTAAGGTTAGATTTCAGAAATCATTACGGCTTGTTATCAGTTATTTGGATAATGTTATTATTATAGAAAATTATATGTTTCAATTCCAGTGCGAATCTAATGTTCATGTATTATGATAACATTGGATTATTTGAATCGAGAGATAATAAACAGTTCTGTATTGATGTGATGATAATATTTTGTCATTTGGCATAATGAATCCCCTTTTCAGTGCATTAAAAATACTACACGTTTTATCTCTGTAGTCTTTGTTATTACTATTTTACATTGAGAATTATATATTGAACTCTATATTTTTGTCAATTTCTCATCAACATTTTCTTTTCAATTATAACCATCTGGCCTTAAATAGCAATATGTGATGTCTGGAGCTTTTACATTCGCAGAGTTGTTTGTATACAGACAGATATAAGATGGACCATTTGTTATAGAGAAATGCATAAAAAAAATTCAAAAATAGCTTATTCATTTAAAAATTGATATCTTCCTAACGATACCAAAGTCAAGCTATACCATTAACTATCGTCGATGTGCTAGTGCCTTCTCGCAAATTCTAAGCTTCAATAGAAAAAAAAAATTAAATTTACAATTTTGTGTATTCTCGATATCCTTTAATTAATTTAAATTCAATGCTACGAATATTCTTTATGGCTGCATATATACTTTCTGGTATATAACATTATAACGGAGAATACCAATATTTGTTTCCATTAAAATAAATGATATCGTAAGTACTTTTGCAATGTCCTTAAATATTATACTAAAAGTGGTATAATATTCAACATAAAAATTATAAAACAGGTTTCATATTAACAAGTTTCACCACTGTGTAGATTAATTAGGTAAGTCTTTTGAGCAAATATAAGGCAAACTACGCTAATCTACATTATTCGATATATAAAGAGTGTCAAATGCGTTTTTTGACTTACAGAGCTTTCAGTATAATATCGATTTATTAGAAAGTCGATCCTAGACTAGAGAAATGTTTAATTAATATAAAAATAATTTCTAATAATATGTTTCTGATCTGTAAGAGTAAGAGTTTCGGTAAGAGGTAACTCTTACTGAATTAATAACTTAATAGATGCTCTTCGAGCTCAACAATTTGTGAAGTACTTCTTAGAGAGATAATATTCCAAGCTAACAGAGCAAAGAAATATATAGAGCTTATTCAGTTTCGAAGTAGCTGAAGTAACCAGTATTTTTAATTTCTCCATATAAATTGACAGGATTTTTATAAAACGTTACAGAACATGAGAAGTTGGGATTATGAGGTAGGAAATATAATAAGTCTTGATTGTTTGTGAAAGGATTATTCTTGTAGCTTCCATAAGAAAGAAACAAAATAGTAAGTATCATAGGCAACAAGCGTCCCTTTATTTGTTCTTTCTCAGTCATTTAATTATTTCAAGGAAATCATTCATTTCCGAAATGCACTGTTTTGCTACAGGTTAGGTTAAAGATGATTTTGAATAATGTTATCGTAAGAAAAGTAGGTTTTCCAGTGTAGTGATAATAACATTAGACATCACTGAAGTGATTTCTCGTATACAAAGATTTGAAAATGGAGGCTACAAAACGAGGATTGAAACACTCACAATGAAACCACTAAGAAGTAGACGTCACACGACGAAGCAATTATGGATGCATTTAACGAAGAAGATCCAATTCAAGAGAGGGAAGATGAAAATGAAAATCATCTTAAGAAATCAGCATGATTCAAGTGTTGAAAAAAGGGAGGAAGGTCTTTTACGGACGAAAAGGTGAAATTCTAAAACTATTCGTGACAGCTGTATGATGCTGAGTCATTCGAATACTTGGCAAATATCGCACGGCATGGAAACGGCACAGAACAGTAGTCGTATTAGAAAAAAAAAAAGCATGAGGATATTTGTCAGTAAAAAGAGAAAGATAAGTTTCGTACTATGGATCTGATAGCCTGGTCATATTAAAACACAATTAAATGTGTTAATTATGCCTAATGAATAATTACAGCCTTTCGTTAACAGACTGGCAAATTTATGACTTGGAAATTGAAGTCTGAAAAGATTCATATAAAGAATAATGCAATGACTGAGTTAAAGATTCCTAAACATGTTCAAAGGACTATAATTATATATTCTGTTACTAATTACATGTAATAGGCATGGCCAAACTGTATCTCTCCGACACCTTAACTGCGGCTCGCAAGCTACTTGCGGCCCTTTTCACTCTGAAATACGGCTTTTATCAATAAATAATGGTTTAATCTCTCAAGAAAATAGAATAGAAATAGAATATATTAGAAATAAATGACGCATTTCTTTATTATTCGCTAATTTAATTTCTTATATTATGTATGCAATAATTGAATCAATTTCAAACTGCCCACCGCAGACTTATTGTCAGAATTGTTGTAATAAATAAAATTACAAATTCTTCCATTTCTGGGAAAGCTACTATTTCGATCATGTTACTTTTTGAGCAAGTAATGGATCACCAGAATAGCACAAAATATACAAATACGAAGTTTATCGCTCTCTAATATTTTTTCTCTGAAGTTAATTTTATTTCAGGTAGTTTCTGCTTACATTTCGTGTGATCCCATTGTTCCCAAAAGTTATGATCCACTTGGAAGATGTATTGTTCGCTGTAGGATACTACTTTTATTTAGTCCTTGAAATGGCTTCAGTAACTGCTCTTTCGGCCTGCAGTCCACGTAGGCCTCTTTCAGCCTGAGTATTCAAAACGTCCTTCAGAGTTAATTCCCCATTTCTAAGCAAGTCGGGAAGAATTTTTATGCAATTCCTTCTCAGTTTTCGTAATCACTGACAGTGATATGCTACAATAAATTCTTTTCCTACACGAAATTCTATCTTTAGTAATAATTTTTTGGTAATCATAAGCAGAGATCGTAATTTATTTCATCAATGGTTGTGCAAGATGAAATATTTGGGATAGCGGGGAGAATCACTGGATTTACAATAATTTCAGTTTTAGTCAGTAAAATCGCTTTTGATATTTTCTCTTACACTGTTTGATGGCTTTCTTTCTAACTTGACACAAATATCGCACTAGGGTAGAGCCGGGAATAGCCTTTTTTCTGCCCAGTATTTCTAAAGATTTTCGTCCCTTAGCACTGCCGCTCACTACAGCTGCACTGACTGCCCAGGCTCTGATGCCAGCATTACTGCTTAATCTAGGGATATTTTTTGCCATTCTAATTTTCGATCATCATGTACGTTTGACACATCCTTCACAAAAACTTAGTAGCCCAATGGAATATTGTACAATAACTCACACTGCCTAATTACTGTGCATGCAATAATGCACTTATCACGCAATGCGAAATTTTGCTGGAGTTTAAATTTTTAAGTCTGATTTTTTATTTCCTAATCCTCACATGCCTCACATTTCAAACTCTATTTCATATTTATTTTCTATGCACAGGTTATGTTCGGTTGAGCTAAAAATAAAATAAGAAAGTGTGTATTTTAACTTCTTTTCAGAGTTATTTTACTTAGAAATTTAAGACAAGACCGCAAGTCATTTAACCATCTTTATAGGCCCAATAGTTAATAGTTCGAATAGAGTGGATCCGTACACCTGTTCGACAAGAAGTCAGGAACTAAACTAGCCTGCAGTCGTCTGCCGAGTCACAGAAAACCTCCTTAATGAATATGTGTGCATGTCACAGAAATATGTTATGTTTGTATTTGTGAAATAAGCTCATTATAGTAGTTACAAGTATGTTTTTTACTTCCTTGTACGAAGTAAAAAGTAAGTATTGTAATCGCGAAAACTTTCGGGTATCATATTTCAACGAAAATGTCATTTTGACCGCTATCGAATGCAATTTAACGATGTTTTTGCGTGTATATTACATAAGGACAGAATAAAAAACTCTTTTATCTCAAACGAATTATAAAACTAATTTAAAATGGATTCAGAAGAGATTTTTTTCGTGGCGTCTGTACCTATGTAGGTATGTATGTATCTCGCATAACTCAAAAACGAGTAGCCTCAGGACTTTTTGCGTATTTGCGAAATTTGGTATGCGGGACTGGTACAACATATAGATCTGCATCTTCCTTTTTGTTTGCAATCGGCCGCCCAAATGTATATAAATATATGTATATATATATATATATGCACTCTGTTACTCGGCTCAGTGAGCTCAGTTTTTTTATTGTTATGTGTTTGTAAAGTGCATTTTTTGCTTTAAAAATGATTGAATTGTGTTGTTCTTATTTTCCGGTTAAGGTTTTTATACCTTTAGTTAACCTGCATGTAATAATTGTGGAATTATAAACAATTTAAAAGTTTCTAAAGTGCAGCTAAGCCTAATTTTTGGTTACCATTGCATAGTTTTAGATTTATTTTAGTATTTGAATAGAACATGTGGTAATTCTTCAGATGATATAAAATGAATAAGATGAGTTATAAAATGAATCTTCTGAGTTATAAAATGAATGAGATGTAATGTTGTTAATTGAACTTAACGCCGAAATGTCGCTATGGTAAATAAATACAGTGAACTTTAAGGAGTGCATTTATTCTAGTGTGGTTTATGCGCTATCGATGAAGTAGATTTAATTCAAAATTCATTCACTATTAATTCAATAAGTTTCAATGAAACGCAGGAAAATTGCGTATAATTTAATATTCCGTACAAGGAAGTCATGTGGTGTACACATTCGATTTTTTTTCTATACCATTAGTTTTGATATACCATGTATTTGAGAAACAGTTCAAAATTCAATTATGGCTGCATTTATTATTAATTCATATTATGGCTGAAGAGTTCGTCTGGTAGATAGCTGGAATATGTGCTCGATGAAGAGTTTATATAACCCAGCATGAAGTGGGAGATTTATTAGCAATAATTATCTATGTCCAGAATTACCCAAATGATTCGATACCTTTTCGAGAAATACCAGTGATGCACAATGCACTGATTACTTAAAAATTATGGCAGATTTCGCTGAATGCCACAATGAAATAGCGTATCACGTCATGAGTGATACTGATGATTTAGTTACCATTGCAATTGCAATCATGTCCTTTTTTAGTGAATTCTTCTACATTGAGCGCCAGCAAAAGTAGTCATTGCAAAGTTTTGATAATGTAAAAAAATAGTACATGTTGAACGATTTCTTAGGTTAAGATCCAAATATTTGAATGACCTCGGTATGTTGATCCTCATGCTAATTGTGTGGAAAAGCAAAATTAATTTTTATGCTAAAGCCTAGAAAAGTTAATAGCTTAATTTTGAATAAATTTCCTTTCTCTAATAACAGATTTTCTGCAATGAGCATTGAACTGTATCATTTAACTCAATCTCTTCTAAAAGACTGCCTGAGTTGAAGAAAAAAAAAAAAAGAAATAAACACTCGATTTCTTTTAAATGATGATTTATAATTCACTAAAATAGTTTTTTACATAATTGTAAACTAGTGCATATGTTTCCGATTTCAGTTTATATCTACTAAACTCAAATAATAATTATTATATACAGAGGGTGATAAGGAAATCAGAAGAAATATTTGGTTTCTCTACCTGAAGGAAGAAGACTCAGTTGCATATTATAAGAGTTACAAATTTATATTTTCTTGAGACTTAACTTTTCTAAATACAAAGCATGAGATATAAGATGTACGTATTCATATTTATATATAACCATGTTAATCACATATAAAATCCGAAATTCTCATTAATTTTCTTCAAAAGTCTCTTTATATTTAAATTCTTATCATTATTTTTGAAACGCTATAAGTCTAGAACCCGGCTTCTATCTTCTTAAAGTTTGGCCACCCCTGACATAAAATATTCTATATTCTCTTACTGATATGGATTCTGAATACTGATTTCTAGTGCTCATCTTTGGGACATATACGTAAACTTCATTTTCATGCTTTAAATAAAATCATTTATTTAAAACCTTCAAAGATTTCGTCTTTTACGATATAAAAGGTCATGTCGTATAACAAGGACAGTTCCGTATTACGAACAATCTCCAAAGTAAAAGTAACTTGTTCATCTTGAAGTAAAACACTTGTATAAACAGCAAATGTGTTTAATTCAGTTGTTAGTAAGCAGATTTCAAATTACTGTTTAAAGCTTAAAAACATGAAAACCTCGATTGTTTAAAATTTTAAGTATAAAAAAAACTGATTATTTAAAATTTTTTGATGTTAATAGACATGTCAAAAATCAACAAAGTATAAAATCCTTCTCTTGAAAGCCATTTTAAAAGTCTTATAAACATGACTCATGATGACCAATGAAAGGTCGTGTGGATAAGACCAGTTTTTATTGTAAAAGTTCTTAAGCCATCATTTAAAGTTTCTGCTCTGCCCAATCTCTCTGGCTTTGTATGCATAAAACTTTACTTAAGAAGACGTTAACTGCTCGCAGAAGAAAGAGTTTAAAGATCCATATAAATATTTAGCGAGCTTTAATGGCAACTAATAATTGTATAGTTTAATGGATTGAATGAAATTATACTGCTTCACATGCTTAGTGCCTGCTTAGGTTTGCAAAGTATTAAGTCATAATTTGTTTTGCCACGCTATAAAATAGCTCCAGGTATTCATATCAAATAATCTGATTTGTTGTATTAATGCACTGTTCTAATTGTACATTTGATGTAGCAAACGCAATTTCTTTAAGTTAAATAAAGTTTTAAAATTTAAATAAAGTTTTAATTCAGGTATTATTGAAGTTCTTTTATATTTTAACTTTTAAATTTTAACTATTATATTTTAAGTATGATTATTACGTGTTAAGTCGTTGACTCGTACAGGCATATAGTCTCATACTATAACGTTTTGCAAAGGTTTGTACGAAAATAATTTAAGGTTAAATGTTTCAGTTTCAGAAGGCTGAATGTGCTTCATGGACTTGCATGAAAGTTTTCTCGTCTATAACGACAACGCTAGCTAGTTTCATTTACAATGTCCTCTCTTCTAGAACAGATAACCTTCGACTTTTACTGCATTCAGTTTTATAAGTCCAATCAATTTATTTAAGACGAAGAAATCTTACATAGTCGAATTTATTTACGTATTCTGCAGAAAAAATTTTGTTTTTTACATTTGCAGAATACCCTACCCTACTTCCTTTAAATACTTCCCACAGTTGCGCAAATTTCATGAAATTTTTTTTTTACTTCAAACTTTACTTTTTATGACTAAAACACAAAATTATAATTCACATTTTAAATACAGGGTGAATCTAAATAAGGGCAAAACTTTAGATAGAAAGCAGCTATACGAGCAATATTCGTCATATAAAGTCTGAACGGAACGAAAACGGCGAGCTGCTAGGTGGCATTATAAACAGTATAAAAAGGATCGGTCCTCGCACCAAACGGTATTTTCTACCGTAGACTGCCGAGACTATGACTGGTTATACGAACGACGAAATTTTCAGGGCGATGGATTGGACGTGGTCCCGTAGCTCGGTCTCGAAGATTACCGGATCTCTTGTGTATAGCGATCTAGCTATAATTGCAACAGCGATCTAGTCGTCAGGTTCGCCGTTGTTGCCGGCGATATGCCTGGTGTCTTCGCAAATGTACCTCAGTCTCTATGGCGCAAGTATGAAGCCTGCATTACAGCTAGCGGAAGGTCTTTTGAGCAATTTCTTTAAACATGTACATCAATTACGTTCCTGTTTATAAAATGTTTTCTGAAGTATATCCTCTCATTCTTAATCCATTAAATGTTTCAGTGAAAAACTAAATTTTAACTTCTCACCGTCTGCGTTTCGATTATACATTCTACTCGTATGACGAATATTGCTTGTATAGCTGCGTTCTAAGATCACCCCGTAAAATTTTGCCCTCTTGTTCAGGTACAAAGTAGTTTTTTCGGAATTACTTACTTTTAATTGCACATCATTCCAACTAACGTTTATATTTTCTTCTGACTTGCATTCATTCGACGCTATTACATTAGCAGATGATTCGTTTCTTCTGTCAACCATAGAGATAATTGCGATACTGAGATTTGCATTCAGTGAAATAGCTAAAGTCACTGCTAAGATTCCAACAATGCAGAGAATAAACCTCTTTGGAATGAAACCTAAATACAGAATGATCATTCAAATTAATGAATACTGCAATGACAGTGGCATATCATTTACATAGTAATTAAAGAAGTAATGTTACGGTCATAAGTGAACAAGAATCTTAGACTGTAGTGGATATACATTTTTTAACAGTTTAAATCTTTAGTCGTATTTATTTTTCAGTGTTCAGACGTTATACCAATGACAGGAAGCGTTTTTTTTGGAACATATGGATGGAAACGGGCGTCTTTGATGTTCCCCAACTGATCGTGAATAGCATTTACGATAACAGAGAGCTGCTTTTCTCCACGATGCAGGGTTTTGTTTACTGGGTTGTAAAAGAAGATTTAATTGGTGTTTTGCTTCGCTTTTCTTTGTGAATGCTGCAAGTGTTGAATAAATGGTTTCTTCCGTACGGAAGGGCGTCTGTAAATTTCTTCGTTTAAGGATAGCAGTGATTCTCATCTTTGTTGTTCTCCATGTGTTAGCTGGGGTCGAAGTTTGTTTTTGACGCATTGGGTGATTCACTGGTTTCAGCTGAGGTCTTTGTGCAGTATCTCTATTTCTATTTATCGAAGGGAAATATAAACAATCAAATAAAAAGGGAAATTCTCGGGTTGGTCAAGTTTAATTTTATGCGTAATTTTTCAGCCTGTAGAATTTAGTGGTTGAAAAAACAGAGTTTTCTTCGAAGCTTGTACGGATGTTTAAGTAAGTGAGATTTGAGTTTTTGGAGTTGTCTGACAAATAGATTCTGGGGCCAGCTCGTCTTGCTGCGCGTTGCGTTTTTTCTTTTCTGCCGAAGGTGAAGAAGCATTTTACTGCAAGATGATTAAAAATTTAGTGCGGGATGTAAAGAGCACTTTACCCAGATTACCGCAGATTTTCCCTTTTCACCCGAATCTCCCATTAATCTCTTCCGAACTCGAAAAACAGACTTTCCCAAAGTGGCTGTTCCCATGGAAAACGGACGTTCCCTGAAATTGGTTGTTTGTGGGAAAAAAGGAATGGGCGTTTCCTTGCCGTGGCACCACGTAGTTAAAGGCAGCTTTACAGCGAGCTTTTCTGTCGTGGGATGAGGAATTCATCATTGTGACCTCGTATCGATATCAACACCTCATTATTGCGTCTTTTTCTGTCTTCCGGTTCCTGTTTTCACTTCGGTTTCTCCATTCATCTGTCTTCCATTCATCTACCTTCAAAATTATTGTTATTCCGGATTCTTCCTTTATGTTTTCTGAAAGATGTCATCTGTCTGGTATAGTGTATGAATTTGGCGAAAGACTATTTCCGGAGTTACAACGGAGTCCTATTGACTAATTTAGAAAGACTATTCCGGAGCTACAACGGAGGGAGTCGTAGAAGTAGGAGCTCCCTGTGATGATGATTCCGGAAGTCCAACTGTTAATTATCTTATATTTTTATGTGTATCATTGTAGATATTTGTCAAGTGGGAGTAATTTTAATTCATCTTTCATAACTGGTAGAAGTGTATTTCTAATTTGATAATAGTAAAAATGCATTGTGCCGTAAAGAGACTTTAAATACATTTGTGTTTGTAAAATGCGTAATTCTGTTAATTGTAATTTCCTACATTAGTTTATGTGAGATCTATTTTAAATAGCTAATTTAATGTTCTATACTAATCAAAATAATTGTTTATTATGTTAATTTGGTAATCTAATTTTGACATATGATGCTTCAAAAAAATATGAATTAGAATGTTAGTTACTATTGCATGTAAGAGAACTGATCAGTTATTCCAACTATCTGAATTTATGATAGTCTAGGAATTTAATGAAATGTGTTCGATTTGTATACTTTGTTTCATTTGTTTATTCTGAGTTAATTTAATTCTTGGTCAGTCCAGTCACTCCATTTGTTTCAGCCGTAAGGCTTTTAAGAAACATGGTGACTCAACTTGGGGTACTGTCAATATTTTTATTGATTTCACAACCCACCCATTTTAATATACTATCCACTTATTAAAATTATTTGAACGTATTTAGGGTAAACTGAAATGAATTAGTAGGCGCCAGGAATGTACTTAAACTTCTAGAATTTATTATTTATGGGGAACGGATTGATTATTGTATGAATATTTCTTCTCAGGTGTTTGTGAGGTTTTGAATTTGTAGAACTGAATAATGTTGCTGATTCTAGAGTTAATTTAGAAACTGATTGAATATGTAGCTTATGTGAATCTCTAGGGTTGTGCTACAGAGGTAGTATTCTATTTTACCCGAGCACCAGCAAAGACTTATTCCTCTTTGTTTTTCAGGTTAAGTTTATTAAGTGTTAATTTGCACTGATTGAGTTATTTGATTCTAAGAAATAGTTTATTGATTAAATGTAAAGCGGGTTACATCAATGACCCAGTTCCTCTACACAGCTTAAGATTCAGAATTTTCAGATTATAAGTTGAGTAGACACTTTTGGGGGTTTTTGCTTTCCGGCACCAGTGAAAGTTCAGTCAGGCAGACAGTTTAACGAATTCTAAATACAACCATCATTTTCCAAGATTTACCTAACAAACGTCAACAAAAACAAATTTTACCTCGAAGAACTGTATATAGCAGATAATAGATCTGAAAACTGTGAGAGATCGGAACAAATAGTTTTAAAATCTAAAAAAAGAATAAACAGAGGAATAGTTAGAACTGAGTTCATTTTTGACACTGAAGAGAAGTCGTTAACCAAGCGCCATGGCACAGCAAAATTAGGCAGATTGTCAATCCAGGAGTTGACAGAAAACATTGGCAGCAGATAATACACTAGTATCGCAGAGATTTAGCAGCCTATGCAGTTCACATAGAAATAAATAGAGCTCTTTTTTGAAAGTAATTTCTTGCACTTAATCTTAGTCAATCATGTTAGTTGCGTGATTAATCGCAAAGGGTTCAAAAAGTACTTCGGTTGGGATTTCTCTCTGATATAACCAGGGGAAAAAAACTAATCTCATAAACGTTTTAAATAAATGGAAGTTTTCAATAACTAAATCCCTGCTGTTTGCACAATAATTAATGAATAACTTTCCTACTCATGCCTTAATCACATATTATGTTGCTTTATAGAAGATTTTTCAGCTACTTAAAACTTTTCACTTAATAGATTACATTTATAGCTATAATTTATTTGAATAAAAATTTCAAAAAACATGCAGGTTTTTTCTGCAATAGTTGAATTTTCCGTATCGCTATTTTATTTCAAACAATACAATTTTCGTAGAAAGATTTGTGTTAAAGTCAATTTTCTGATGACTTTCCTAAAACTATTCCCAAGATTCTAACAAAATTTTACATACTTTTAATCTTTAGAGCATGAGCATACATGTAACTTTAGTACTATTTTGCTATTTTAATTTAGATTTCAAATAAAGAACCTCGGCTTTTAGTAGTCTTAGTAACTGTTTCATGTAAATAGAAAGAATTGTAAAGAAAAATGATGGACTATAAACGATGCCCATGACAATTTTGTGAGTTTCCAAGACATACTTATTAAGTGTAAATATAAGTTCCCACAAGTAGAAAAAAAGACAGAAAGAAAAACATTTAATACTCTCTTGAGATCTACTGCATTTATGTTTTAGAGCAAAGTTTGACTTTTAGGCATAATTTTCAAGTAATTTATTAATATTAGGTGCGTGATGCTTGAAATTCAATCGCTTCAGAGAAAGTGTGGAAGGAAATTAAAATATTTGTGTCTGAAAGACCCACGCGCCCAACTAAAAGTTAAGTGACTCTATTTCATTATAAAATACCATTTATCAAATCAACAGAATTCATTAAATAGCACAAAGTAAATTAATATTCTTTCTAACCGAAAATAATTATAAGCATCGAATCAAATTAATCACTTTTATGTAATACAGAACGTCAATTATCGGAACTTACTCTAGTTCATATGAACAGAACTGCGCATAGAGTAGCAATGCGAAGTTTATTCTAGCCAATTCTGCACTAACACACAAGAAAATCAAAACAATAACGGCTCTTGCTACGTTCTTTTGCTTCAAAATATAAACAGGGGGAGCAACAGCCCACATGGCTCACAGTGTTACTTGACGGTATTCGCAAATCCGAATCATTGAACCTCAATAAGAATGGTTAATAATTGTGAAGAATACTGAAGACAAAAGGGTCGCACTTCTCATTCCTTCAAGAACTGCAACAGAACTTTCATTCCATAATAGAATCTTTCTTATCAAATGAAATGTGATTAGTCCTCAACGTTCAGCTAACTAGTCCACCACAAAATAAAGGCTGCCACACTTTCTGTATATTTTAGAGCCTTTTGATTTATTTTTTAAAGGCATTGTGGCCTTTATTTAATAAGCTGACATCTGATATCATGGATTGTCTGCATATGTAATTAATCATTTATTGATTTCGTTTGCATTATAGTTTACATTTCTATTGGTCCTTGCCAGCCCTTCATTTTGTACTCTTGCTTATATCATTTAGTTAAATTTTACTAGACCTTTTTTATAGGTGTCATCGCAAGTGAATGAGTAAAACATTAACAGAAATAATATTGTGGTTTGTGGAAAAATCTGTATGAATGTAAATACTTTTGGCGCGAAGTTGTATCTCATTCGAAAGAGAATATATTGTTCTACCTAAATATATGTTTCGTTGTTACTAAGATACATTTTCTTGTTATTTACAGATCATAACGGAATATCAAGTTGAAGAAGGAGAATTTCGACACCTCCTTCTTTTTGCCTTAATAAAGGTTCTAAGCGCAAAGCGCTCGCAACATTTGTGCTGTGTCTGGAGTGGTGCTATAGCTGAAAGAACCGCCCGTGATTGGTATGCAAATTCAAAAAGAATTTAACCTAAAAGACGAACCTCGTTCTGGCCGTCCGGTTGTGTTCGATGAAGAGTGATTGAACCACCTTTTGCATGAAAATCCACGTCAAACTACAAGGGAACTGGCAAGAGGCAATGGATTGCTCCCACACTACTGCACAGAAGCATCTTCACTCGATGGGCAAAGTTCAGAAATGTGGAGCATGGATGCCTCACACTTTAAGTGTCACCAACCCAAAACTCAACGAGCCACAATCTCCGCTGGTTTGCTTGCTCGTCAACATACAACCTGTGGACACAAAGGAACGATTTTTTCACCAAATCGTTACTGGTGATGGAAAATGGTGCCTCTACATGAATGTGAAGCAGCGTAAGGAATGGCTAGCCCCGGTAAACAAGCAACCCCACGCGCGAAACAGGACGTTCATCCGCTTAAAACGATGTTGTGCGTGTGGTGGGACTGGGAAGGGATTTTCCATTTCGAATTGCTTGAAAGGAACCAAACGATCAACGCGGAGCTCTATATACAACAAATGGACAGACTCAACACGGCTATTCAAGAGAAGGACCTAATCGGCAGCATGGTGTTCTTTTGCTGCACGACAACGCCGCCAATATGACGAAGGAAGCCATTCAAACTCATGGTTGGGAAGTGCTGCCACACCCACCATACTCTCCCGATTTGGCACCAACGGATTTTCACCTCTTTCGATCTCTTTCAAATGCTATGCGGGGAGTTTCTTTCAATACTGATGCGGAAATGAGAGCTTCGTTGGATGACTTTTTCGAGTCTCAAATAGGCGATTTCTACAAACGAGGTATTGAAAAACTTGTTAAACGTTGGGAAAAAGTTGTAGACAGCAAAGGAAAATACATTCTTAATTAACTACTCATGTATTTTTATTGAAAAATAATCTTTTAACAAACATTATTAAAAACGGTGGGAACTTAGTTGCCTACCCAATATTTCCGATCAGCGTAATTAAAGTAAAATATGTCATTTAATAATATTTTAATACTTTTATGACAAAGTTTTTCATTTCAATCGGTTTTAGCTAGGATAAAAATGTATCAAATTTGAACCATTTTATTCAATGACTCCAAGCTTAGTTTTTATTTATTCCCCGAAACATAACGCAAATTGATAACTAATTACTAATGATTTTTGGATCGCAAATCTAGCTTTTTATCGTTCTTTGATATAAAATATTTCTTTCCGGATATTAAAATGGAATCGCAAACGAAGTTCCAATATCAATTTTTTAATTACTCATAATCTATTTATTTTCAGTGCTATACTTACCCAAACTCAAAATGTACATGAGTTTGTGAACGTGAATGGGTTCATTTGCTTTTAATTCATTCATCTTTCAATATAAAAAGCTACCAATTCAAATGTCTTTACATTACCTCCAACTAGTAGCAACCATCGTGTTTCTGCAATGTAAAAAATAAAAGAATAATCAAAAATGTCAATATCCTGCATGAATTTTAAAACGTGTACTATAAATGAAATTTACATTACATAATAACATACTGCTCCAAAATTATTAGCACAGATTTCAGAAAAGCCATTAAGATAAAGAATAAAAAATAACAAGATATCTCATAAGGATAAAAAAGTATCTGTCATTAAAGATATTAAGATGACATAGATTGCATAAAAGATATTAAGATTACAAGATATTTTTCGTACCCCTATTTAAAAGAAACATGATCACCCTAAAATGTTGTATAAAAACATTTATACAACCTGACTAATCCTATTTCAAATGACTTGATTTTTTTTTAAATTTACAAATATGGCGACTGATCGGAGTGCTATAACTTCAGTCATCAAATGTACGAGGGAAACGCTGAGAAGCACAAATGAATTTCTTGAGATCAAAGACATGATCTGTGCCGCCGCCCAGACGGTATAGTGGTTAGGGAAGGCGACTGCGATACTAAGGGGCCCAAGTTTGAATTCTGGAGAAGGCAAGGTTTTAAGGCAAGGTCCGTTCCTTTTTAGGAGACAAAGGTGGCTCAACTATTATTATTATATAATACCTTTCTACTTCTATGAAACAGTTACTTTACTCCATAATAAAGTGACCAACACCTCTGGCCTTAGTAGTGGCCAAGCCGAAGTCGGCTAAGGGGCCGCCATTGGTTTAAAAAAAAAGCCATGATCTGTAAACTGATTGCTGATAAAAGAGCACAGGTTTGGGCTCTTTTCAAGTGTTTACGCTTACAAATGTCACCCCTATTAGACGCATCCTTATGAAAATTCCAAGATCACAATATCGGATGGGTGACTTCCTTCAGGAGTATGAACTGTCCCTAAGCAGATGAATAACCCTGTGCTAGCAGTAGGATGCTGAAATTATTTAAATGTGCAACTTGTATTGATGGCATCTACTTTTCTAAGTATCAGCTCCCCAATATAATTGTTATTGATGAAACTGCTGAGTTTAAGGATCAAAGATCTGAAACAATTGTTGATCAGATGAGAACCTCGTCGACTTTCATTTTTTCTACTGATTATGAATGGGCCCGAGTATGTTGTCAATTGGATTTAGGTGTACATAAAACCTCATCTCTCAAGTCAAGAAAGATTAGATTGAACGTGCTTCAGGCATTCATGTTCTTGAAGCCTAAAAGTCTGGTACACACAAGCAACTACACGGAAGTAGATCAATTTAATGCTACAACTTGTTTTGCGAGTTAGCCAAACAGGTTTTCTAGTCTGAAAATTAGCCAGAACTCATTGCACTAAAAACATGAAGAATTTCCTTGTAAAATGAAGACCAGATAAAATATTGATTTCCTCAGGAATGGTTGTCTATCCCATGACCCTATTGGAATAAGCAAGCCATTCAAGGATCATTTACGTAAGAAAATCAGTGACTACATTGAACATAGTATGGAAAGAAATCAGCGTGGACAATTTGTGAAACTTAGCCTAGACTTCGTAACTTAAGTCAAAAACTCATGGGATAAACTCACTGACAGCTAAGTTGCCACTGCTATATGAGATGACTTACAGTGACCAAAAGTACTCTGCTAGACGTAACGGATTAGGGCCAATGGTTCTACAGGAAGCGCAATTGCAAGAACTTCCATGATAGTATTCAAGGTTTGGAGTTCTTCCGATGTTCCAAAAGAAGATAATCTGACTATACTTGAAAAAACGCAGATTTTTATACATGAAAGAATGAATGAATATAGTGCGGATTATATTAATAAGTGTTATTGTTGTAGGTGGTAAATGTTGATTGTTGCACCCGAAAAAATAAGATATTCCTTAAATCTAATGAATCTATTTCAGCAAAAATTAATAAAGTCTCAATTTCATTTTGGGGGAAATATAATATCAATGCGTTAATTCTATTGTGCAGTCTATGCTGAAACTAAAATACGAGAAAAGTGGAAATGATGCTTTGTTTTGAAAATATAATTTTCGTGGTTGATTTATTAATTCTATTTTGCACTTTGTATATCAAATTTTGTTTAAAGTATTTGCAACAGCTACCTAATTGACCAAAATATTTCTGCGAAGCATTTTGTTATAAATTTAATCAAATATATGTATACATTTATATTTCTTTGTTTCTATCTTAAGTGCACATTTTTTAAAAATTTATTTTACTATAAATTCATTTTTATTTTATTTGTCATCAATTATTATTTATCACTAGGAATGCTAAGAACTAGATAAATAGGAGAAAAAACAGAAAATAGTCCTTAAAATCCCACTTGGTATTTAACACCACTTGGCGATTTTGCAAAATTTGGTTAACATGTTAGAAATTTTGAGAAACATCCTTGCGGGAGCTTATGTCTGCTCGAAGCGATTTTTTAAGGATATTTTTAACTGTCATGAACCCCTCAGAAACTTCATGAGTACTAATATGGAAAGGTCGTAGTCAGTTAAGATCAATTTACTCAGTTCGAAGTCTGGAGTTCTGTTAAATTTAAAGGCTCAATAATTTCAAGCTTTGCTCTATGAATGATTACAAAATTTTATTGTTCCTTTTAGAACTCCGAAACTATGACTTTTCTGTACTTTTACTACTAAATATACGCTATTTACCTCCGTTTTAAAATATCCTTCACTAATGTAAAACCATCTTGATTATTTTATTTACGAATGATAATTGTTATAGTTTGGAGCTGCAAAGTTATACTCTTCGTTCAATTGGCTTATTCATGAGAACTGTTCACATGTGACGATATTTTTGTACACATTGGGTATACACAATTTATACCTTTCCCTTCTCGCTTCATACCAAGTAGAAAAGTATTTCTTAGTCTATTCACTCTGGCAATTTCTTAGTATATTCCTTCTTTTTTTTTAAACTGTATGATTATGTTTTCAAATATTTTATTTCATAAGAATGTTCTTTAAATCTCAAAATGATCCATTTAAATTTGGCTGTGCAGCAAATTTTAACATTCGTAGTTTGATAACAGACATTCCCATGAATATTTCCATAAATAAATTTTTCAAACAGGAAACAAACATACAAAAAGCATTCAACAAAGTTTTAGAGAATATGTGAGAACATGTAGATAAAAGCTACTTCTGTTTCCTGAGCCATTCGAATAGAAACTGCATCATATTAACTCTCCGAATCTTCAGCTGGTACTGTACTTAAATCGAAAATCCCAGCATTATGTTTTATATAAAACCTTTTTTGCTTACCTGGAGAATATTAAGAATATATCAGGACCTTTCTCAGTAAAACTATTAAAAAACTGAATTACTAATCATTCCTATGATAACTGATTTCGAAGTTTGTTACTTTATAAGAATTTAGAAGTCTGCAAGGCTTCATTTCTCAGCGCACAATTTATTCACCATATCCTACAGTTAAAGACTAGTATCTTGCAGAAACCAAAAGCCGAACTTCATATCCATATAAGCATGAAGAAAGATTCCATAACATTTAAAGATTTTACAGTTAAGGTGAATTATTCAATCACAGGAGCCATCAGTTCTCCATAAGCAGAGAAACAGATGAATATTTACTTAATATTTAATAAAAATCTTTTCTCGTTTTTTAGAATGAGGATAAATGTTTTGTATACCGGTCTTTACACTAGTATTTTATCTCACTATGTTATTTATAATTTCAGTTCATGACTTTTCTACTCGCTCACTTTATGAAACAGATTATGAAGTACAGAACAACGTTTCATAGGTCAAAGTACAATCTTTTTCTCTTCTACGTTTGTAAGTATTCTGTTTTGGCATAATTTTCTTTGCCTTAGAAACTTTTCTAATGCTAAAAATTGCATAAATGTTTTATGAATATTTCAATACCTCATATTAAATTACCTCCCTGGTTAGCGATGAATGGTTACTAGGCTATTCATGGACTTGTTCATTTATGAGGTAAGTATGCATATCTGCTGTGAAGTCTCCTTTTCGATCGTTATGTCTTTTCTCGTTAACATTTTCGATATTGCTTTCGAAAATGTTTTATTCTTTTAGGGTAAATAAGGTATATAATCATAAAACGTATGACTTTTCTTCGCATTTTAATAGCGCTAATACATTTAAAATTTTGGTTTGGTACAAAGCGAAATCAGTTTGGTATGATAGCGCAATTAAAGTTATTACTGAATGTACACAGGTGCACATGCGTTTATATTAAAATTCTAAAACTGCGACATGCAAATATGGCATCTGCGTACAGGTAGATTACATACCTTAGAATAATTGAAGACTTACATATTCTTTCTTTCGAGAAATGCTTTAATATTTTTGTACATTCTAAAATACCCCCCCCAAAAAAGGAATTCTTTTCTGTTTTTCTCAAAGATTTTTCAAATAATTTTATGATTAAAATTTTAAACAGTTAAATTAAGTTTGATTTTGTTTCGGATAAATATTTAAATAACCAAACATCAGTTTCTTACAGCTTATAACGTTTTTTTATTAATTTGAAGAAAACTTATTCTTATACGTGTCATATTTAATTCAAAAGGACAATAAATTTATAAATAGTAAAAAATGTAGACTTCATAATTTTAATTTCATATACATACGAAGAAATAAAAACTGCTAATTAGAACAGATTCAGAAATTTATAAAATTTTCCATGATAAATAAAAACTCAGTATGTGTAAAAAAACGCTTTCTAGATAATAAGGCTTTGTTTAATTGCGCTAAAAGGTAAAATATATTAAATTTTCTCATTTTTCATATTTTTGCCATCTACAACTTAAAATTGTACAGTGCTCAAAATGGCAAATTTTAAGTCATAGATGTGGAAGAGAAATTTTAACGAATTCAGCTTAATCATTTTTATACTTGGCATATTAATACTATCACTTTTGTTGGCTCCTAGAATTATGTTAATTCTTGATATGGGTGTCCCACTAGTTTGTTTTTATTAATATAAGACCGAGAATATTATGAAAGAATAAGAACAATAAAAATGATTTTTATTTTAGTGCATTGAACTCAAATCTGTAGTTTAAAAAGTGTTTTTTAGTCTACAGAACGCTAAAATATAACAAAGAAAGAACATATTTTTTTCCTGAAAGTAGAAAAATTATTTGCCCTGAGTGTGACAGCAGAATATGCAGGACGTTATTTTACTCGCAAAAGATTTTGACCTTAACTGACGGCATAAATTTATATTCAGTTCATTTGAATTTCTGTTTCATTTAGAAATATCTAAGCATATAATTACTTAAAATTACATGGCTGGTAACAATAAAGGACTAAGTCTCTTAATATACTTCTAGGAACTGCAAAATGACTGAAAAATCAAACAGTTTTTTAAAAACCTCCAAAATGTGCCAAATTATGTTATAAATTATGAAACAAATGCTTCATTTGAAATATTCTATTTTGATTAATCCAATGATGTAAAAATATAAATCAGACCATCATTAGTTTGAACGTTAAATATAATTAAGTGATAAAAATTTTACAATAAACTAAAAACAAAATCTTTATCGAATTCCGAAAGATTTCTATGGCATTTTACACATGCATGTGGTTATCGCAAACACGTGTGAAAAATGTCAATAAATTCTGAATTCATGTTTAATTTCAGTATATGAATCAAACAAATAAACGAACAAACAAAAAAAACAAAGCTAAATAAAACCGTGTAAAATTTATTCGTTAATCTTTCTTATTCATTTTCTTTTTAAAGGTTTTGATTTGAACTGAAGCCTCTAAAAAAAGACTGAATTTAAAAAGTAGCATTTAGAAATAAGTAAAACATTAAAATTTATACATAATTAGAAGATTTAAATGTATTATTTATTAAATTGACTAATACCAGTCTTTTTCATCTTAGATTTTGGCATTCAAAATTCTTTTCGTAAGCTGTGATGAGTAATATACGAGAAATAAAATGAGGTTTATAATTACGTATTCAGTTTAAGTATTAAGCCGAATCAAATACAATAAATGAAAATTTATACAAAACGAAATTGTGTAAATCAATTGACTGGCAGCTGCCCGTGTTTTATAACCAAAAATTAAACAAAAGAGTGAGTATATGTGAAAGTTAATTAAAAAATGAGAACGGGTTGAATGATTTTAATGTTTAAGACGACTTACTTAAACGAACTGAGAATTTTTCTTCATTCAGATAGCCCTTGTATATTTTTATATATTTAATTATGCGTATTTAATATTACTGTAATTAAATAAATATATACGTATTTAATTACAGTGAAATGCTGATTTACCTTGCAACATTTAAACAAACCGTAGTACAAAGCGAACACAATAAATTGATCACAATGCAAATGAGACATCTGGGCAATCAATAGCACCAGCGATATTTTCGCAGTATTTTCTACAGTTTGTTTTTGCTTGAGTCATAATGTTAAATTAAAAAAACTAACATGTGCTTTTTGAGAGATGACGTTTTTGCTTATTGCATATAACTGCAAAGAATTTTGTAAATTAAGCAGCTAGGAGCACTAATTGTTTCATCCTTATTCCTTTATTTAATTTTCACATCTTAAGGATTAAAAAATAACAAGTTTTAATGAACTGTTGAATCATGTATTGTCACTATAAATATGCATGTATGAAACATTCCACGAAATCGGATTGGTAGAAGGGGATCAAAAATTAAATTCAAAATTTTATTCATAGCTTATGAGATATATATATCTGCCTTAGAATGAACACCTTTGTAGAGAAATTTCTAAGCAAATTGACATGGATTCACGTTGGAAGAAGCCAATCAAACCCTGAATAGGAAACAAACCCGGAATGAAAAGGTCAATGTACATTTGTATTACCCACTGGGCCACTGCTGGGCCTCTGCCAACGAAATGCGATTTTTTCATTAAGTTATGAACATATTTAAATTTTTTAAAAGTTATTGTATATTATATGCAATTTTTCATTTCTGTTTACACGTGCATGGTTTGAATAATAATTTATAAAGTTATATTCTTTAAATTATATTAACAAATTTTAAAGCATTTACAAACAAATTTCTTTCGTTTTTCTTCTCTCTCTCTCTTTTTTTAAGACGGGTAGGCTGAAATTATAATCTTTGCTGAAAGTAAACGTAAACAAATAGTACAGAGGTGTAATCTCGAAACCAAACGACGCTAAAGGCGTTTTCTATCACAGAAAGAGTGATGTCACTGAAAAGCGCAAACAATCACGAGTAGGGATTTTTTCCCCCGTGGGCGTTGTGTGGTAAGATTTGCTTAAATGCTAACAGACAATACAGAGGATGAAGTACGATGTGTAACGTTATATTATCCTTATATAACCAATTACTATGACTTAGATCTTTACTGTACCTTATCCCTTCCGTTTTCCTATAACAACGCAAATTTAGTTTCACAGTATTTAAGGTGAGGTTGATGAATTGTAAGACTCTCGAGGTCACGATACTAGATTTCATTAGCTCAGATAAGATTGCACAATTCGGCTTCGCATTATAGTTGACAGCATTTAAATTATTACGCCACTGAGATGTTTTTGACCTAACTTCGCGTTAAATAATTTGTGTAGTCTTTGGCTTCTACGCTTAATTTTATATCTTAAAATTGGCCTTATCCTAAGTTACATCGCCACAGTTGGTTGGCTTATTTGTCAAGCGAGACATACATTTATGTTCCAATTCTGATTTAATAAAAAAGTTTATTTTAAAACCTTAAGACTTTGTAGTACTTTTCAGACGAAGCGGTAATTCAGCCCAAGTCTGTTAAGAGTTTGGACTTAGTTTATGCTACCAAAGACTACCAAAATCAACAGCCGGTTAATTGAAATTTCGCTGCTAATCTGAGGGCTATTAAGAAAAAAAGAAAAGAATAATCCATATTTTAATCAATAAAAATTTCTTTTAAAATTTTGCCCGTAATTTAAAACAGTTTAATACAGAAACTAAGTTCATTTGTTTACGTAAATTAAATCACTATTCATAATAAAAAGAGAAACAATGTCCATAATAACAAATTTCAGTATTCATAACACTATTAATCTCGGAAGAAGAAGCATCGTTAGAAATGAAGAACCTGAGATATAAATGGCATTAAAGTACAATTAAACAATGTCAAAGATCTCAAAAATTGTGTAAAAATATCGGTTATAACTTTTTGTTTTCTATTTCACAATGCTAATACAATGCAGATTGCAGCTAAAAAACCAAATAAAATTCTCAGTTTTTAATTCATATACCCCATTATTAAGTTTTTGATATAAAGCAGTAAGAAATATTATGCGTCATAATATTCCTCAAGCTGGCTGTTTCCTTTCTGATTCCTCTTCTTTTAGAAAGCAAGCGTGCTTGAGGGTTTTCATAGATTTGAAAAAGATGTAAAACATCATACCTACATTTACGATTATAACAAATATAATGTCAGGAAAAAAATTAAATTTTTCTAATTTCATCGAAGATTTTTAATTTTCCTGTATATTTAGTAAAAAGTTTGGATTTTGCACAAAATTCATTATCCTATTTTGATCAAATGGTTTCAGAATAGTTAATACACTGGGCAGTCTGCAAACCATTTCGATTAATCAAACATTAGCATTTCCGTTGAGGGAAAAGATTATCTATAGGTAAAGCAACTCTTCTGTTTTAAAAACAAATATCTCACCTATAGTAGGTTAGCTCTGAACTGTTTCGCTGAAAAGGAAAATAATTATGGATCAAAAACGAAAGTTCGAAATTATGCTCTAATGAATTTTCTTCCTTGAATAAAGATAGAAAAATGGATTAAATTTTACAGTTGAGTAACTAACTTACCTTGGAAATGTGATAAACTGACGTATAAAAGAAGTAAACGCTTTGTTAAGATGACATCCAATCTCTCTGAAAACCAAGAGTTTCCTTACGTAACTGTGGTGATGTTCTGCCATATTTAGTTGGCGGCCGTCCGCAACGGGTGACGTTGACTGTAGTGTATACGAGATTAAAACACCCTCTGAGAAGAAAAAGAGACTTCGGAGCTGCCTAAGTTCAAATACAGAGAAGTTTCAATTACCTGTATAAACAGAAACTATTACTTCGGAAAATGTCATACCTTATTTCGGGGAAAAGTCTGGCAATAAGTTGTGACAGACGAAATTTTTCCGTCACTCTCCTCCTCGTTATCGGTACCTCTTAGATCAATAAGACTTCATGGAATCACTCCTTTATTTTTTAAAACAATAGCTGCTCGACGTACATAATATGTGACTGAAGTTTTTTAATATGTTCCGTTTTTCAAATACCTCATTTGGTAAATCCTTTCTTCATACTCATTTTCAATTTTCCAAGCAATGCAAGAAATTCCCGACGATTCACAGCTCATCCATGAACAAAGTTTACTTCTTTTTCCATGGCGTTATCCATCGCCAAACACTTGGCACAGAGTTCTTCTTAACAGATAGTTAATGTATAACGCAAAACTTCTGAAATTTTTCCTCTTTCACTATATTTTTTAATTTTGCCTCTACTTCATTTTTATTTACCAAACATAGCAGCTGCAACATCATTTTCAAATCCAACCTTTTCGCCCAAATTTTATTTGCTTTTATCTATATCAGTTTTTATTTCAGGAAAATTATCCCGTGCACTAGTTTATTCTTTCGTGGCAGTTCTTTCGAATAACTGCACAGTTACTTCAAATTCATCAGGAGTAATAAGTTGTGCTTAATCTGTTATCTCAGCATTATCATCAGCTGCTATCGCGAATGCTGCGCAAAATTTTTCTTTAACTGATATCGTAATCATATTATGCAGATTTATTCGCTGAGTTAATAATAAAATGTGCACAAACACTATTTCACTCATGAGGTTACTGACCATCAAAGCAATTCGGATGTTTTTCTTTTTACGCGATGATCGGAAATGCATAAACATTACAAATATTCGAGGCGAGCGAGAACCAGTAAGCATATATCACTACGTTGGCGGCACTGACCTTGATTCGAAATACTTTTCGATTTTGAACTTACAGATAATCGATGATTTCAAAGCACTTTCAGAATATATCGTTAAATCACACACTGGAAACGAATTTGATGATTCACTGGAAGTTTGAGGCCGCAAAGTTCGAAATCTATAGGGGAAAACTTGCACCAGGTTAATCCTATCTTGACTTTTTATAAATATGTAATGATTTTAAAATGCGTAGATGAAGGCACTGGAAATTTAAGAGTTTAATGATACTGCGTAGATGACAGAGAAGACAGTAGTGTTGAAGCTGGCAAAGTGGAAAGCATGATGACGCAATTTAGCGCAACGTATCTTGAAAAATCACAATCTTTATTTTTTTACGCATATTCAAATCCTCCTTTATATCAGACGAGGGATTGTTTTTCTTCGTAACTATATTTGAATTACAGTAAGGTTGCAATTTGAAGTACCGGGACTCGTCGGTTTTATTAGGCAAGGTATAAGCCGCAGCAAGCATACATAACAAAAGCATCTTGCCGGCAGGAGAAGCTTATTGCGGGGGGAAAAAAAAGGGGAAGAGTATAGTACTTTCAGGAGGAAGAAGGATGGGAGTGGGAAAAGTTTTTAAGTTCAGAGTTTTTAAGTTTGGACAATAATTTCATTGGAAAAAAAAAAAGAAGCAAGAGCAATAATTGCATGGTTAAAACGTTAGTCAGATAGAAAAAAGTTTCGGGAACCTGTGAGAAAAGAAAAAATAATTTTAGGGGGCAGATCACCAAATTTAGAATGTTCATTTTGAGGTCGCCAATTATTTTTTTAAAACAGTTATCATACTTTGTTATATCTTACATATATATATATATAGAGAGAGAGAGAGAGAAGACTAATGCAAGTCAACAAGAAATATATCATCTTGATCTCTAAATCATTGACTACAACAAACTATAGCTTTTTGTCAAAAGAAGGGTTTTTTAAGTTTAGAAAAATTAAATTAATTTACTGGAGCTCCAACATACCAAAACAAGTTACAAGTAACACAATACTTAAATAAATAAAGTAAAATTATTTATACAGAGACTGATGACTACTTAAAAGATGAAATAATTTTACTTATACAAGTACTTAAGAAAATAAACTTCCTTCACAATTTATTATTTTTTTTTCTTAAAAAAGCTAGCTTAACTGCTTAAAAATACGCAACAAAGGCAAAACCCGAAGTAAGACAATAACTATTTAATGGACATGAGGTGAACTTGTTCCAAGAGTTTGGTGTGGCACCACATAGCAAGCAATCAAGCAAAGACATAGGAAAACAGATTTATTATAATCATCACATCTCGTAAAGAGCAAATGGGTCGGAAGAATGTGCAATGGAAACATCACGCTAATAACGAGTATGATACCATCTAGCTGAAATGCATGCTTGATAACGCAATGCTTGATAAGGAGGATAACGTAATGCTTGATAAGGCAAGATGGCGATAGTGTCGTTGATCGCTTGTTATGGCAGCAGCGCCCTTTCTTGTAATACATGTTGAAGCTCGTGGAGGGTGTCTGGCGGCACACTGGTGACCTGCTATCTCTCGTCCCAACATGTCCTACGCATGCTCTATGATATTCAGGACCGGTGATACAGGAGGCCAAAGTAAATGTGGAGTGGTTTTTACTCTTCAGATAATTCTGCACCACTGAAGGGCTATGCGTGGGGGTCGGTACCCATTTCAGTCATAAAAGAACGCACAAAAGGATATAAAATTTCGTCGTGATATCGAACGGCTGTGACGAAACCACAGGAATTACGAAGAGGTCTGCGTAGTCGTTCGTTGCTATCACAGCTCATACAAGTAAGCCTTTTCCTCTGTAACGGTCTCTTTCGAAGATGTCTTGCGCCCGATAGCGTGTTCCTCGCTCTCAGCATATCACTGCCCTTCAGAAATCGTTCTAGATGTTAAATCGAAGCTCATCTTTAAGGAATACGCGGCTCTACAGCTCGTTGGCCAACTGCGATATTCACAGGTTCAATTCAACTGCGCGCTGCAATGTTGCCAGATCGTGCGATTTTTCGCAAATTTGCGACTTTTGGCAAACTTGTGCTACTAAAATTTTAGTATTTGCGAATTTGCCAAATTTTTGCGACATCCATCATTTTCTTATGCTACTTTTTGCGAATTCAAAGAGTTTTTTAATATATAGTAAAAAGCTTTTATGTTAAAATAATGTATCAATTAAAAATAATTTATGTAAAAAAACAATTTATTTAGGCTTAAATGGAAGTTGGCATCAGACAGTCTTGTTTACACGTAGGCTTTCCTTTTCAAAGCTGCACAGCCTGACGCCGGTGTAACTAGAAGGGAGTAGGAGAAAAGGTAAAAAGTGGCAAAGAAAGAAAAATACTGCTTCAGGACCTTTCAAACCTCTTCCCTCGTCCCCTGTGTGTTTTTAGATCAGTCGCCCCTAGTACTATGGTGATAAAGAATCGAACCAAAGAAACTTGCAGCTTGCGCGCCATATATTAAATACCCAAACAGAGGAAGAAATGAAATTCATTCTCCTGATTATAATATTGCCAAGAACTAAGCAAGAGAAATGTCTTAAACATCAAAGCAACGCCATTTTCTAAATAGCAACGCAAATAAATTTAACGGTGAAAGAAAAAGGCTTTCATAAGCAATCAGAATCTGAAATAAATCGACCACACGCAGAACGGAAATCTGACTAAAAAGCATTCCTCAATTAAAATGTTCAAAATTAAGGGGAGAAAAAAACAATAAAAAAATTATTTGCCAACTTTAAAAAAATTAGTACAAAAGTGCTAACAGGAATTTGAGGAATCACTTAAGAATGAATATGCACAAATTAATTTTAAAATAGAAACCCAAATTAAATGAAAATTAATTAAAAAAGAAATAGATATTTAAATAGTTGAAAATGAGCAATATAGTTTTAAAATTTTCGTTAAAGCTAAGACACGTAATTAAAAAGACTAAGAATCGAATACAGTAACTTACGGAACCAACTAGCAGTAAATTTGTGACGACATCAGAGGTCATGTGAGCATGCATAACTATGACGTCACAAAAATCCCGTGATCTCAGACCTCATTTTGCGATGAAAAATTTCTGGCAACACTGGCGCGCTGACATACGATGGAAAAAAAGGCAAAGAATATGTATTGTTCTTTGGAAAAAGGAACGCAAACACCAGATCGTCGGGGGTACACTCCACCTTCATGCAGTCAACGCGACACAGTTTGCTTGGATATAGGCCGTCATGCAGCAGCAAAGATGTGATGTCAGTTGTAGTGCTATTAGTGATCTATGGCGTCTTGCACATAGCATCAGGAAGTGATCGCTGGTGTGGTAATCTTCCGGCGCCCAAACCCACATCTTCTACAGGGTTTTTGATCCCTTTGATAACGATTCCACAGCCTACTGATGACACTGCGATGCACATTCAGCTCTCTCAGCAACATCAGATTTTCTTGAAACAGCTTGCAGCATCCAACGCCCTTCAATGCATTTCATCGTGTAAATGTATCCTTCGGCATATGCTTTCCGCTTTGGCTGCCTCGGATTACACAGAATTATCGCTGCTTGCAAACTGAGTCATAAATCCGGCATGTCTCTTTCTAAGGCGCTGTGGTGTGACTGCGGGATTGCGTTTTAGGCTAATTTCGGTTGTCTATTTGCATTCGGCGATGCAAACTTTATCTCATGTGTCAATTGTATGTTTTAATTCCTTTTTTTTATATTTGTATTTTTTCTTTTAGCCTTTGTTGCTTAGGATTATTTCAGCGTTTATTTTTCGGGGAACTACACCGCAGAGAAACTGTTGCTCGACAAAGAAAAATTATTTTAAAATAAGCTATTATCTTCTTCAGGCTTTTGCATAGAAATAATAATTTTGTTTTCACATACGTTTAACATTAGGGCTAAAATACTAAGATCAAATCTAACTCTTAATAACTGAATTCATTCATTAGATGGAACTAGGTTATGTTTTGAGCACGTGTGTATCATATTTAATCTTTAAACTAACAAGTTATGATAAGCTTGTCTGAAACCGAAAAAAAGTTAAGAAGGGATGTTATGTTACAATTAAAGATTTGTATATTTTGTATTTAAACTGTAAATTTTCCTGCATATACGTCTGGCTTCTATCCTTTTAATAACAAGGCGCACTTATTTTCAAAGAATTAAAGCAGTCATTTAAGTAAAAACTCTTTTTTTTTTTTTTTTGTCAATCTCTCGATTTTCTTTTCCTTGAGTTTTAACCAGAAGTAATTATAAACTTATTAGTTTTTAGTCTGAGCCTTTCTTCATTTTATTCTCATTTTTATCATTTAAATATACAGAATCTTGCCAAAATGAATTCTCTCCAGCTACAACTTTTCCAGTTCAGTTTAGATTTTCTTGTTCCTTAGTTAATCAGTAAGCTTCTTTCTTTAATTTTCTCGCCAATTCAAAATCTGCTCATTGCGAAACAGTTACTTGAACTCTGTCACTTTTAATGCGGCTTCTCTAGGCGATCTTAGGATGACCTACCTATTCCGGTTTGACTAGAAACTTTCACTATGCCGATGT